TGGGGCTACCAACTAATTTCAGATAAACTACTGCAGCCACCAGCTGATAATGACTTCCAGTTGCTATTGACCTTGGCCATAGTTATAGCAGTGACCTAGAAGAAATGAAAGGCTCTGTGTCTCATTAGCAACCCCCTGAACTGTCAAGGCCCATTATCTTATGAAGAAGTTTCTCCTTCTGCAAATAATCTTCAGACTTGCCTTCATGCAGAAGAAAAAAAAAAAAATTGCTCTGCTGTTTTCAGATGTTAGAAAAGTCTCCACAAGAGCTCTTGTGGCTTTTTAATGTTGGTGTAAAGAGGAATTTATATATTTCTCTTGGAAAGTTCGTCTCAGCGATGCACGCAACTGTTATCCCTTAAAGTCCTGAGCCTGTTTCCATTGAAATCCATACGAGCAGCAGGCTTTGACCTTAGGTCAGCATAAGCTTGAGATGATAAATTAATAGGCCTTTATATGTGGCTAAGTCAGCCAGAAGTTTTTACAGAGTGGTAACTGTGTCCCTGTTCTTAAAAGATGCTTTTCTTTCCTAATAACCAGACTTTCTAAAAGAAAGCACCAACTATGCTTCACTCAAAAATTGCATCGCCTGGATATTTCTGTGAGAAGAAAGACCGCCAGCTCTCTTCAGAAAGGCTGGAGTGTTTTTCATAGCACGCTTTTTGTACTGAAGCAGTTTCCTTTCTTCTTGTACCAGCTATCCTATTAAAGCTTCTAGTATTCCAGCTTTGGCTTCCTAACAGCTTGGCTGATCCTCATGCCCAGCTATGACACAAGGAAAACCAGATGCCACCTTCCTCCGTGGCCCCACAGTAGGTGGGGTGACCGTGGGACAGTCACTGTGTCCTGGTTTCGGTCAGTGCCGCTCCATCAATCTCTCACAGAAGGACAGGAGGAGCTGGCAAGGTGCAAACAGGTGCCTGCATCACCCCGTAGGGTGCTTGGAAGTTCTTGCAGGCCCAGCTCCTAGTAAGGACACGACAGCCCTTTGTACATGGTACAGTTAGCCCCTTCTTGAAAGATGAAGCATCCTGCCTGCTCACCTCGTAGAGCAAAACAGAGCATGACAGAAAGGCCTCTACCCATTTGGTTTAGTCCTGTTGAATTTGACAGCATCCCTCTGAATTACAATCTTGGGTGTGCGTGTGTTTACCCACTGTTTTGGGGAAAGGGCAGATGCTGGAGGTGAAAACCAGTGTTTGTGAAAGGCAGATGTGACAACATCTGCCAGAGCATGAGATGCTTTTGACTTTGCTCTTTGTTGCATCTGTTAATATAAAAAAAGGGCATTGTACTTTACCAGTGTTTCACAAACCCCAAAGTCAATCAATTTCATCTTTCCTAAATTAAAAAAAAAAAAAAAAAACCCTTTCTTTTTCAAAAGTGTTTTTAAATAGCTGGTATTTCTTATTGGTTTATTGTGTTATATTTATTTTTGTCTTCATACTTCTTTTTTGAATGTGGGGTATTTTTAGTTAAAGAGAAGTTTCTGTACGATTGTTGCTCAGCACCCAGAGCACTTCTGTGAGTTTTTAATCAATTGCAATTTGACAAGTAGCTTTTTTTTCTCTCACAAACTGGGCAAGCAGGCACACCCTGGATTACTATTAAAATACTGGCAGGGCATGTTTGGCACGGAGGGGAAAAGCCTGGATGCGTTTACAGAGAGTGGTCTGAAATTTATTTCAACAGATACAGTAAATGCGTAGTCCCTGGAAACTTTCAAACCGTCTAATCACTCCCACATCTGTCTCTCTCAAACACTTGCCTACGTAAACTAAGTACATTGAAACTACCCAACCCGCAAATACCAGTTGCTCGTCTGGGTAGTCTCTGCTTTACCAAAGATTCACAGGTTATTTACAATTCGCTCCAGTTTTGTGAAGTAAAAATTAATAAAACTGATCATCATAAATATCCTTTCTAAAGCAACTTAATCCATGCTTATCCTCCCAAAATCTCCACAGGGAGCTAAAACAGTGTTAGGATTTCCTTCTTATTAGGAGAGCAAGCGTATTTCAGTGGCTGGTCTTACCGAGGCCATAGGCAAAGTCTGCATTTCATGGGGTGAGAACTGGGTTCTTATAGTCCTGGCTCTGTCTGTCCATCACACCACTTCAGTTAATAACTCCTTTTTAACATCTTCCTCAAGTTTAAGAGTGTCCATTTTCCAGACAGGTTGTTACAGATCCTCCTGCTCAGAAGCACAGTAGAAACTGTCAAAAACAAATCCAAACAAAAAAAAAAAAAAAAAACCAAACATTTTTCAGGTTCAGGCATTTAAAGAGGATCCGGGGAAGCACATGATATGCAAAGCTTCTTAAAATACATTCTATTTTTTCATTATATTATGTGGTTGTTAGTTAAAGACCAGAAGGTGCCTCCTGATTCTTTTTTGAATCCCCAATTTCGTGAAGGATAATAACCTGAGGAAAAAAGCACTCCATTCTCTACAGCTTCCTAATAATAGCTGTGGTTATTACGCAAGGTTAGTGCACAGAGACCACAAAATCATTTCAGATAGGGCTGTGTTAATCCGTGTTCTGTAAAATGAGAACACTTACGATGACTTGGCATTTGCTACTTAATTCTATTTTTTTCTCATTCCTGTAGGACAAAACTTTGTTCCATCCGGTAAGCAGCAGCTGCATAGATTGCAACCCAGCCGAGAAGAAGATTTTCATGAACAGATGTGATCCTTTATCTGAAACTCAACAGTGGATTTTTGAACATATTAATATGACTGTTTTAGAAAAATTTAACAGCAAGGCCAGTTCCTAGAAAGAAAAAAAAAAATGAACACACCCAATTACTTACAGACTGCAGACTACATTTTTGCCAGCATCTGGGTCGAAGGAGTCAGGAATTAAATTTCCTAGATCCAGGAAATCTGTTCTGAGGATTAAGAAAATGCCACAGCAAGAGCCAGCAGGCTGTCCTTGTGGATGTACAGTATCTGAAGAACTTGGCCAAGAGCCTCACCGGATGCTGCTGAGAACTTCAGGCTGAAAATTCCCTTGCTGGTCGAGGGAAAAAAATTGTTTAAAAACTGTTTAAAAGTACTCCAAGTTAATAAAGTAAAACAAAACTCTAGAGTTTCTCAGGTCAAATCCTGCTGTAGTGAGTAGCTCAGAACAGACACTATAATTTGGGATGGGTATATGGTGTGCATGACAGCTACAGGAACCTGAAGAAATCCCAGGTTTTAGAACTAAACATGCTGGTAGAAGAATAACGATGTCCCAGCACTCCCTAGACAAGATATATGCTCTGTTGACATTCTCTTAATAAAAGGTTGGGTTAAGCAGGTTTAACCCTCAGAACTGCTGCAATTAATTTTAAATACCTCCCTTTTACATTCCATTCGTTACCAAAATAGGAATGGTAGAAATCTTAGGGTCTAGAATTACACTGTAGTGAAGCATGAAATAAACTGCAAGGTTTTGCCCTCACATTTCCCCCCTTCAGGAAAAAAAGTAAAGCAATCAAATTTCTATATATGATATATTTAGCAATTATGATTCAAATCCCATTGTCACACAAGGTGAGATTTTTTTTTCAGTGACAAATATAACAGCATCAGCTGCAGCATAAGGGAAGGCTTGTGGACTAGCTGTCTTTTCTAAAGGTAGAATCCTTACCAAAGTATAAATTAAACTGAAAATAGACTGGAAAAAAAAAACATCAGGAGAGTAGGAAATAATTGCATACTGCATGCTGAACTAGGTTAGTCAAATTAACGTTGGTACACTGCCATCACCTAAAAGCGTGTGACTCCCTGCAGTGCAGCTTAAAAGATCTTGCAGAGGTCTTGCAGTGCTCTTGACGGGTAGGAGTGGAGAGAAGAATTGACATGAAACTAGTCAGGTGGTTTCAGAGTTTTTGAAATCCATGATGGAAATCACACGAACTTTCCAGAGTTAGCAAGTGAATGGTATTCTAGATCTCACGATGGAGGAAACAAGAAGTGCAACCAAGTTAAATGTTATAATATTTTGGTACTTCAGGCACAGGCATGATTCAGGGTAAGACAGACTTCTGTCATGCTGATGATCATTATGGCCTGTGGTGTCCCTCAGACCCATCAAGCTGTTGGCATGAGAGGCCTCTAAAACTTGTCGGGGGGGCCTATGGTTCTTCTCAGCAGAAATCAGTTAATACTGATGTGTGGAACATAATTTATAGGTTTGGGATTTTTCAGGGTAAGAGCAAGTATAAATTTATATCAAGTAAGTACGTGGCCTGCTTTTACTTGAAAGGTGAATTTACAGATGAAAGCACCATAAATGCAGATAGATCACAGGATATCCTCTAAGAGGTGGCTGTAACAGTGCTTTCAGTTTCCAAAAACATCATATGTAATTAAGTTGATTATTCTGATTGCTGGAGAGGTAGCTGACTAACCAAAACAGTGACGTGCAATCATCTACCCTGTTTTGAGGGAGTAGGGTGACTGTGTTTTGTTTATTGCTCCTTAAGCTGTGTTTATGCATGAAGAGCATTGATTGCATCCAGAGGGCGGTTCTAGTACCAATAACTATGTGCTATTTTATGGCAGCACCTTGTAGTTGTAGATTAAGACCCAAAATTGTAGGTCATAGGAACTTTTTAGGAGGGGAATGAGATCCTATAGCATTCAGGATGCATGCACTTGGAAAATTGTGAAATGCATCTATACATTGAGCAATTGCCGCAAGTTAGTGAAGAGATCTTTCAAGTAATCTGAAAGAAATGTGTCTATAGAGTTAGACTTCTCATTTTATGATTTTAAAATAAGTGAGCTTGTTTAGGTATTGTTTAAATTTAATTTGAAGATATGGTGCTCTCAGGAACGGAAGCAGTAAGGCTACCGTATGAGATACTTCAGATTTGTTTAGCTATCAGTACACAGAACCAGACTAGGCGCTGCAGACTGTCAGCCTTCCCAGGTGCAGCGCTCGCAGCACCATTTATTTGCAGCCTGAACATGAGGAAAGAGGGTTTGGAAAAAGAAGAAAATGGCTGCCTAAAATGTAAATGCAGCCCTCAAGCTGTTGATTGTAACTGGCCCCAAACTGTCAAAGTCCTGGAAGCAACACTGTATGCCCACAACAGAGAGACAAAGGAGAATTGCTAAACCAGCTAAGCAATTTATATTATGCACGGATTGGTAGGGTTATATCATTCAGTGTCTGACTGCATCTCAGTGGCCTGATTTTGAAATGTCTAATGGGAGCTAGGCTGCTGTTGGGGCAAAGAACTTCCATGCCTTTTACATCCTTCGTTGAGTAATATTGCACAGCATCTCGCACTGCCAAAGGAAACCTTCCCGTTACTTGTAGCTGGACACTAATTGTAGGCTCTAGCAGTCCTTGTCAGAAAATAATCCACATAACCAATACTCAGATGTTCTGGGGAAAAAAAAACGATCTGTGTAATGTTTTCAGGTTTTACAGGCAAAATGTAAGAAAAATACATTGCAGTTTGTTGTGGGTCAACAGTGAGCAACTGTTGATCAATCTGGAAATATAAAGGTTAAATGAAGGTCCATATCTTGAGGAAAGTTTAATAAGAACTTGCCACAGTGCGGCATAGAAACACGTGTGCATACACACACATATAGATGCGTGTGTGTGTGTATATATACATAAGTATATGTGACCAGTGGAAAGACGTAGATGGAGGGGAGAGGTTTGTTTTCACTTCATGGGCTGATCCTTCAAATATTTACTATAACCAGAACTGCACAGAAAAAAACAATAGGACACGTTAGACTAATGGTGAAGACAGTTCTGTGTTTTCAGCTTAAGCAAATTTCTCTTTTTCAAAAACCGAGACCAAAAAAGCTAGCATGCAGCTTCACAACAGACAGCTGTAATCCTCCTACTATGGGTATAAGGTGGCCCTAGGGACAGAGCGCTTCAGAGCTGCGCTCCCGTAACATTTGGGATGACGGATTAGCAAAATGGTTATGACTTGCTAAGCACAGGACTCCTTCAACAGAAAGCTTTATTAATAATAAATGATCATCCCTACCTCTAAATTAAATTCTGTCTTGGGCGTTCTCCAAAGCTTTCCACTGATAACAGTATTTCATGACTAATTTAACATTCAGAATTTAAGTCTTCCTACAACCATATCTTTTCCACCCAACAAACATCTGAACAACTTGATAGGATGGACAGATATATCTTCCTCTCATATTTCACCAGGAGCATTCAGCTTTAATATGCATTTCTTCAACAGACTATGAAGTTTCTTCACAGATTTTTTTTTTTTTTTAAATACCAGATAGTTCTGAATATATTTTGAATCTAGGGCACAGGTAGCATTAACTGCTGTGGGCTCATCATTTCAGTGGAGCTATACTAATCTGCCCCAACTGATGACTTGCTTCAGGTTTTTTCAATTAATTATTTTATGGCTGAGAGGGCTTTAATCAACATGCCTGAAAAGAAGATCTTTGTATCTTAAGAGTTCATCAGCACCTACCCTAAACTTTTTCCATATAAGGTTATCTGACTCTTTTTTGTGGCCATCAAACTATTACTACAGGCGAGCGTACCTGGAAAACTGGAATAAACACCAAGTGCAACTAAAACTCTAAAGTCACATGTATTTCCCTGAGTATATTCCAGAATCTAAACTAAACAGTAGCCTTGGGAGAGAGGGCTTAAAGGAGAGAGGAGGAGCTGGGAAACAAAGCATTTCACGCGTCGGAGAGCAGCCTTGTTGCAGAGGCATGACAAGACTTCACTTTTCATTGGGCACAGTCTTATTTCAGAAAAATGACGTTGCTTTAGAACAAATGTTTCTGCAACATTATGGATATTTTAATGATATAATGCATACTTCCTGGGTGTTACCAGTTTACGAATAAATGGTCCGTAGCTGCTGAACTAGGTCTTCCTCCTGATAAAGATAGACTAAGCTTGAAAGGAAGCTGACAAGCACTTAACTGCCTCTGATTACTGGCAATTTACCAGGCATCAATGTCTCCATGACCTCAGTGAAATCGGATGCCACACAAGATCATAGAAGAAATGTATATAAATAGCTTAACCAAATTGATTTGATGGGTTGCGCCTCTATAAGAGTAGATGTCACCTTTGTTTAAAAAAAAAAAAAAAAAGTCATCATAATCAGAATTCATTTGCATTTTTACTGATAACTTCTGCAACGGGGACCCTTTTAACCTGCTCAGACAGATTGGGGATGGAGCATTTTAGGAAGGCAACACTGGGAGGCTTTCAATGTGGCTGCCACTAGGGGTGTATCCATTTTCTGTTTAAAGAGCATCAATCTTTAATGCTGTTAGCCCAGCGTTTTTCAAGAGAACGCAAGATGTATATTAAAAAAAGAATATGATAATGGATTTATTTTTGTTTTTTAATCCATCAAGGTTGTTAGGGAAACCATTTCAAAACCCTTGAAAACAAAAAAGCTGAGAGAAGTAGCTTTTTTATAGCTGGTATTAGTATTACAATGTTCATTAATTCTTTTGTATAATCCCCTTCCAAATCTGTTCCATGTGTCCTCTTAGAAAGAGCACAAGGGTCCAAGAGTGCTTTTACATAACACTTTGAGGATCTTCCCTGTCTGAAAGAAAGTTTTGAAAGACCTTTAAAAAATTAGCAAGTATAAGCCAAAAGGTAACAAAAAAACCCAAGGGAAAATACCTGGCTATTATCTCTAGTGTACCAAGAGATTTTGCTAAACTTCTTGTTCTAAAATAGTATCCATTGACTGGAAAATTTTAGATGAATAAGTAATATATTTTAGTAAATCTTTAGTGTATAGTGCTTTCTAATTAAGATTTTTACTCTTAAAAAAAATCAAATTTTAGTGAATCTGTATAGTTAGTTGCTGACAGGGGGTTTTTTTAACCACGTGTAATAAATAAATCTGTCCTGAGGTCTCCTGTAATCTCATATTTCATAGAATCATAGAGTAGTTTGGGTTGGAAGGGACCTCTAAAGGTCATCTAGTCCAACCCCCCTGCCATGGGCAGGGACATCTTCAACTAGATCAGGTTGCTCAGAGCCCCGTCCAGCATGACCTTGCATGTTTCCAGGGATGGGGCATCCACCACCTCTCTGGGCAACCTCTTCC